AAGGTGCACGCGGGTTCCCATGAAGGGCTGGAGGTCGCAGTTAATGTCTAAACCGGGTTAAAGCTGCTCTCAGCTCGGCTTTGACCCGGCAGAGGGCCGGGGGCGGAGGGGTGAGCCGACGGTCAGCCTGTCTAAGATGAAAAAGTGAAACGACCCCCGAAAAGAAAAGCCACATCTGAATGGCTTTATATGACGGAGAGAGCTCTGCTCTATGAGAGGCAAATGTATCGAACAGTTCGTGTAAATGGAGAAACTGTTCAGAGTCTTTGTGAAATGTTTGTGGTTTTGAGATGAGAAACTTGGGGCTCTTCATGTAAAATTATAAATTCGACCTTGATATTTCATTTTTTTTAAAAGTATACTCAAATACCTTTAAAAGTTTGCATATTCGGTTAACGGATGTCAAAAATGTAAATAAAGGGGCCTCTACAAGCTAACGCTCTCAAAAATAAAAATGGATGCATGAAGATGAATAGCCTCACAAGAAATGGATGTAGAATGAAAAAAAAAACATTTATCCAATTAGCCTACAATTTATTCACATCAAATGGTCCTAATAAAACATAATGTTGAGAAATGCATAGGCCTACTAATAGCCTTTTAAAAAATACTTGTTTTCTTACACTTTAACCTTTATTTTGGAACAAGCACTTGCCATTACACAATAATAATACAAACAGGGAGAGAGAGAGAGAGAAACCCCGCGAAACAATGGGCTCGCGACTCCCGCAGGCCGCGTGAACTCTACATGGTCCCCGCTCGAGCCCCTGCGTGGCCCTGTCCAGCGCGAGGACTAATGAAACGGTGAACCAGCGGTCAACGATTCTGATTGACCCTCACTCGACCTGACGGCAGCTAGGCTACATTCTTAAAGAAGAATGCTCTTTCTTTCAAAAAAGCGGAGCATCACTCTGTTGTTGTTGTTGCCTCTAAAAGGAGTCCAGCAAAGTTCAGAGCTATTCAGAAGGTGTAAGCTAATGATTCCAGTCTTCAACCCCCTATTCAGCACGTTAGTTTAGCCTGGAATAATTGTGAAAAATGAAAGTTTTTAGGTCAAAGTCCTTTTTTTTAAACCTACAGGCATGGATTAATAGTCCTAAACTGAATAGATTTCTGACTGTTTGTCGGCTACACATGCAGATAGATGCCCTAGCATTTCATTACTCAACCCTACCCCTTTGAATTTATCATAGATTTAAGACTCTTTTGTGTTTACTATTCCAACTGTTTTAAATGAAACCAACCCTCCTTTATGTAAAGTTTTGCTGTTCTTCTCACTTCATCCATGCAAACCACGATTTCTGCTTCAGCAACAAATGGTTCAGAGCACAGTTTTCAGCAGCCCTTCATTCAAGCAGACCATGGGAATTTAGGAAACATAAACAGCACAAATGACTCTCTACCAGAAACACAGAAAATGGCCCAAGGCAAGTACTGGAAACTGAAAATCCCTGTGGTCAAAGCTTACAGTAAATAGACACGCACAACACCTCCTATATCATGTGCGCAGACGTTACATGTACATGTCATAATAGATTAGTGTGTGTGAATAAAGACATGATGTGTGGATGGAAAAAGAGGATAATGTTGCCTGCAGCGGAGCGTGGACATTGATGAATAGAGTGGGCTAAAATCAATATATTTTACCTTTCGTTTAATATGCACCCAAGTAAAAAATATGTTACAAAGAGACAACAACAATATCAACAACCATAATGCCCATGCTATTAGTCATGGTGGTGCAATGGCCTGTCCGTGCATATTGCCTGATTATAATTAACACTCCAACATCAATAGCTTTTGGTCCTTCACAGATGTTGTATTATAAACAACAGGGGTTGCAGATCATCATAAATGTGTTTCAACACAATGAAAATGTTAGATTTTGCCCTCTCAGCCACATTCTTTCAAGCATCGTTATCCTCACTTTAGTCTAATCAAGAGGTCCAGGCCAAAGGTTGGGTATGATCCTGTACCGTCCTATTTCTAATAATGGTTGCACTTCAGCGTTTGGCTTTTAAATAAGATGGTCTTCTGTAAACCTTTGGCAGATAACCAATTAGTATTCTTCTATACTAAAAACCTGTGTGGTAGGTGAAAATGGGGAAAAAAGGATGGGATTGTGATGGTAACTGTATAAAATAGTTCAGGGTTATGAACTATACAGTTAGTCACTTATTTGGATTTGGCATAGTCACAGCACTTGGCACAAATCTAATGAGTTGCAGTAACCACCGAGGTCATAGCCTTAATTAGAAATCTTCTTGAAGTGCTGAGCTTGATGTTTTGAAATGGAAAGCGTTCAAAATCAATAATTAATTTCAAAGTATTTCTGACACTGTGGTTTTATTTACTAACAGTGAACCAATTGTGCTATGGCTTGGAAATAGTGGTAATTCTAAATAATACATGTCTTGACTAACGTTCCTTATGCTTCTGCTTATCATTTTCTTTCACTGGCTTTTCACTGTCTGCACCCTGTGCCCTTATAATAAACTTTTAGCTCCCTTTCTCGCACAACAGCTGCTCTTGCTATATGGTTCTATAAATCACTCCATCACCGACTGTGCTACAACAAAGATTTCACGCAGATTTAGCTAATATCTACCTTTTCCTCTGTGCACTGTTTATGCTGCTCGTCTTCCATGTGATGCCCTTGATGTCTTACAGTAATTCCACTTAACTATTAGTATTAATGTGGGTGTAACAAAATGAGTTATTGATGTAAAAATAAAAACAACAGGGTACAGCATTGTTGATGGATTCCGTTAATAATACCATGAAAACATATCATAATGCATTAAACAATAAAACATGCACATATTTACAAAAAATGATGAGTTAGGTTCAAAGGTGTTTGTTGTAATGATTCTCTGGTAAAGTCATACATACAAAATTCTGAGTATAAATCATTGTCAGAGACAAAAAGGAGTCATCAGCAGCTGGCCGTGAAGTGAACCTTCGCCTATACATACCCTGTAGAACCGAATGTGTGTGGAGCTGTCTCAGTCACAGATTGGGTTCTGGGGGAGTCTATGGGCGACGACTAACCATCTATCAAAATCCAACAGGAGGGGATGAAAAACTGATGACTGTCTACAGTGCATTTTTGCTCCTGCCATCTATCTCTACCTCTATCTCACCTTTGTGTTAACATGCACCAAGCAGCTGTGATTGAGGTGATGGGGAAGTTTTAGCCATACACTGTTGTTTTCATGCGAAATTGAGCTGGATGGTTCGCACACAGTGAGTTATACAATGTGATTACTCCTCTGGATCTAATTTCATAGTAGCAATAAGATCTGCTCAATTGAGTCTTGATTAAGAAATCTAAAACAGATATGTGGTGGCAGCTAAAAAGCACAAGCACTGCAGTAAAGTCAACACAAAAAAAAATCTGGGAGTTTTTGCTGATACTTGAAGCCTAACAACAGTGATGAGGTTGCTTATGCAGGCCTCACTGATACAGGGCTGAAGTTTTTGTTTAGATGAATAAATGTGTTTTTTTTTTTAATTGTGCAGTAGCCTATGTTACTTAATTTCTAAACTGAATATTTATACACTTTTAAGGATAAACCCCACCTTTGTGATGACGTTTCTTTTTTTTTTTTAAATGCAAACACTGGATCCTGAATGAACACTTTCCATCACATAAAAATGTGTTAGTGCTTTTCTTAATGGCTTCTCTGTGGACATATGGAAGGGACTGAATCACCACCTATATTTCATGTTTAAATACCTGTGATGGCACTAATCCACCACTGCCAATGAAACAAAGGGAATAATTTATTCAAGTAGGCCTAGTCATGAAAAGCGAAATTTAGCCATTTTACTGCCTGTCTGGTAGCTTATCAGTCATTTCAGTCATTTACTATGAGCGATTCTGCACAAATGACTCATTAGATCAGATAGATTAAGCCCATATAACCTTTAGTCAGCCATGTTAAAATCGTATAACCCATTACACCCTCTGCATGAGCTCCCATTAATGCCTCTGGCAGCCCAGCAAAACCCCCCTCTCTCACTCTTCTCTCTGTCCCTTTATCAGAGTATTTAGTACCATTATATTAGGCATGAGAAACAACACGTAGCAGGACATAATAAATTGCCTAGGTTTTGGCAGAGCATCAGAGCTTTAGCATCCTTAGAGAGCAGCTGCAGTCAAGGAAGAAATCCTTGTGAAATCCTGAAGGATAAATAGCACGCAGCCCTGGCGTTTGTGGCTCACTCTTTTTTTTTTGGTAGGCTACAAAAACGATATTACCAACCCCACCTGCTTTCAGAAAAAAAAGCATCCTCTTTATACGTCTTATTCTTCGTGTGAGGGCTTGTATTTAACATATTCTCACTCGGGATTTTGGTAATTTGCTTTCATTTTTCAGCCTTGTCGCATCTCTCCCACTCTCTCTCCTTCAGCGTGCATTGGCATCATTTTTTTTTAAGTTAAGCGTTGCATTTTTTTTCTCTCTCTCTATTCTTTAAGAAGACGAGTTTGTGATGATGGTGGTGAACGGGACACCTCGAGCTGACCCTTTCACCAAACAAAGCCAGCTACTAGTCACTGTCTGGGACTCTTTTATCCCATTCTTTTTATTAGAGGCCCCTTTCTGACCGGTCATGTTTTGTTGTCCATCCTTTTGACCCGCCACACAAGGCCAAATACGGCCCGAGCCATCGCTCAATATGGGCCAGATTAATTTTTCAGCTCCGGCCATCTGTGTGGGGGTAAAAGTCATTCAGCCAAAAGTCATAAATCTACAGTCCTGGGTTCGCTTTCAATAGGTGCTGTGTGTGGGAGCGGGCGGGGAGGGGGACGATGAAGAGACAGGATTAGATAGATATCTAATCCCGTCTCTAATGCTGATAGATAGATAGATAGATAGATAGATAGATAGATAGATAGATAGATAGATAGATAGATAGATAGATAGATAGATAGATAGATAGATAGATAGATAGATAGATAGTTAGATAGATAGATAGATAGATACATAAATAAATAGCTAGATAGATAGATAGTTAGATAGATAGATAGATAGATAAATAAATAGTTAGATAGTTAGATAGATAGATGAAAAGGAAATTAATCTCAAAATAGACTAAGACTTAAATGTGTCAAATTTAATTGAAGGGATAATGAGACATAAGGGTGGTATAAGAGGATTTTAAACGTTGTTGTTTTTTCCACAATCATCTGTTCTTTACTATTTTCCACGCCAGCAAATCTTCATTAGACCCATAATGAACATTTTTTTTCCCCCTCAAATTATCCCATTACGTCGGACATAAACAACTCAAAGTACCGCCTCTTATTGGCTGTGCGCAGGGTCACGTGACCCGCGCGGCCGTCCGTCTATTTGACAGCCGCAGGATGGCTTGATGCCAGAGGGGGAAAAAGAGACAGAGAGAGGGGAGAGAAAGAAAAATTAGTATTCTCCTACCAACCTCGCTATAAATCAATCATGGAGTCCTACGTGGTGAGCTGTAAATATGCTGAGCCGCAGTTCCCGCCTTGTGAAGAAGATTACAGTAATTTTAGTGACCAAGGGGGGTATTACAACAACCCTCAGGACAGTGGTACTTATGGAAGGGGCTACCAGTCCATGCAGCCCCCTCCACCTCCATACACAGCACAACAAACAGGCTATCAACATTCTTTGCAGGGACACCACCGGGAGGATGGAGAGGAGCACGCGCAGCACCAAGCTGCGTCTTTCCCTGGCTACAGGGAGACAGAAGCGCCCGGTAAGGAGAGGTTCCCCGTCGGTGACCTGCAGTGGATGACCTGTACAAAGCCCGCTCAGGTGCAGAGGAAGACGACCTGCCAGGGGAAAGACAAGCCGCCTATTGTTGTGTATCCGTGGATGAAGAAGGTGCATATCGCCCATGGTGAGAAGGCTCGATGATTTAAATCCCCTATCTGTGCTTCACATTCTATGTATTTCATTCTCCATCATCTCGGTTTGCCTGATTCTCATTTTTGTTTCCAGTATTCTAGTCTATTTTCTTTCTTTCTGTCTTTCTTTCTTTCTTTCTTTCTTTCTTTTTTGTTTTGTCCATTTGTGAGCAGAGATTTTGTGTTGTCGAGTTATTTATGATCTCAGTGAGAGTCAGGGAGAATTACAACCCCTATAAAGTTTTATGGCCCTGCCACAGCGTGCGTGCGTGCGTGCTGCTTGTGTGTGTGTGTGTGTGTGTGTGTGTGTGTGTGCGTGCGTGCGTGTGTGTGTGTGTGTGTGTGTGTGTGTGTGTGTGTGTGTGTGTGTGTGTGTGTGTGTGTGTGTTCGCGCGTGAAATGGTGTGCAACGCTGCTGCAGAACAAAAAGATGCAGGTTAAAAGTAAACTGTTTCTTGGACGTCTACCCGGTCAACCACAAATGACCTGAAGAAAGCACTACATAGGCTACTATAATATTTTCAGAAGTAAAGTTTATTTAATATTTAAATCACTCTTCCAGGCCTCCTAAATCTTATTTAGCGTACATGTATTTTGTTAAAGCCTTCTTAAATAGAAGTCTTATCATTAGGCTAAATGTTAGGTTATATATCAATTACAAAAGCTGATACTTGTCCTTTCTTTTTTTTATGTTTATCTTATTATTCTTTTTTTCTTTTCTTTTTTTTTTAAAATACAGTTAATCCTAACCACCATGGACCGGAACCAAAGCGTTTACGGACGGCGTATACCCGCCAGCAGGTTCTGGAGCTCGAGAAGGAGTTCCACTTCAGCCGGTACCTCACGCGCCGCCGTCGCGTCGAGGTGGCCCACGCGCTCTGCCTGTCCGAGCGGCAGGTGAAGGTTTGGTTCCAGAACCGGCGCATGCGCTGGAAGAAAGACAACAAGCTACCGAACACCAAAGGAAAGAACAAGAACAAGAAAACGACTGACAACAACAACAACAACAACAACAACAACAACAACAACAAGAACACTAACAGCAGCGACAGTAACGTAAAGGCGGTGATAACGGTGTGAACACAGGATGGTGGGCACAGTGGACGCCGTGTTAGCACCTTCACTTTCCAAACTGATACAGAGTGACTTTAGTGAACTGAAATATCTATGAACTGCTTTAAAATTACAGGTTCTCTATTTGCAGGCCTATATGGATTATAGGCCTATTTCGTTAACCACGTTTATGGCTTTGTAATCAATATCCTGACATGACATTTTAATTCATAAAAACTGTGCTTAGGTCCTATTTTTAGGGTAAACTTCTCTTTTGGAAATGGTCAGGCATATGTCTGGTAAAATGAAGGTGTTACATTTTTCGCACTCCGATGTTAGAGGCGCTTGTTGACGATAAGTTGCATCCACGGTGAGAGACCGTGTCTTTGTCTTTGGAGAAAACAGGGTTTTTATTTCTACAGGGTAAACATAATACAGGGTTTTATAATAGCTACCTAGAGGATGAAATTGCTTAATTTATGAATGTGCACATTACCAAATGTTGTGACCACAAACTGGCGCTTAAAGGGGCAAGAATAGGCATTTTAAATTGCTCGCAGGTCGACTTAAAGGTTGAAAATCAATTTCAAGCATTTATTTTGTACCTAAGGGAGTATACATGCATAGTAGAAGGATAAATAGCCATATCGTGCAGATTTTTTTTTTTATATCTCCAAAGGTGAATGAACCTTTAAAAAAGAAATAATATAGGGTAAAAGTTCTATGCTTTGAGAAAAAAAGAAATAGCCAAATTGGAGGTTTGAATGCACGACGCTGACTGTAAATCCAGCTTTTTTCTCAGGGTTACAGGGTTTTGACAGACAGAACTTTAAAAAAAACCGTTCATCATTTGATTTAGTAGGCCTACCGAAAAAACAAAGCGAAACGCTTTTTCAAAAATGTTTTCTTTGATTCCAGTTTAATATGCTATCGATTTTTTTTATACAGCCTATATGTCAGTACTTAGCCTATTTGTATTATTTAGAAGCGTATTTTATTCTTTGTAGAAAGAATCATCTCTGCTCGTTTTTTATGCTTTCATTTTTGAAAAAAAAAAGAAAAAGTCAAAATAAAAAACTTAGTTTAAGAATTTTATAGGTGGAAATGTTTTGATACTTAAAAATAAAAAATGTTAAAAGTGCAAAGAACCACTTATTCTTATTCCTTTTCTCATGCTTATCACCCTCTCTCTCTCTCTCTCTCTCACACACACACACACACACACGCACAAACACACACACACACACACACACACACACACACACACACACACACTCGCACAAACACACACACACACACGCACAACACACACACACACACACACACACACACACGCACAAACACACACACACACACACACACACACACACACACACACACACACACACACACACTGGAGTGGCGGGTCGTAGAGAGAGATGTATAAATGTGACGTGTCCTAAGACATAGCTTAATTGATGAATGAAAACAGTCACAATTTCATCGCTAGCCTTTTTGCAAAAGAAAAATATGATGTCCTCACTTCCAATATGTAAATTTATGTTTAAAAATATCTGATGATTCTCTGCACCATTCACGATTCAGTTCAGTGAAGCGTCAGTCCACAAAAGGTAAGTCAAGACAAACATCCAGTCCGTGGTGATTCTTAACAGAAGCCTGTTAATATGAATATATTTTGACCAGTGGGGGGATTTTAAATGTGCTCCGAAATAGTCGCTGGATAAAGGGGGGTTATCCTTAAAGTTCAATCATTACAGTTTAATTTTTTTTATTTGCCAAGAAAAAGACATCGTGTAGTCAAATAATTCTCAGTGGTGGAGGCAAAATATTCTTCACTAAAGGGGCTGCTGCATTAGCGTATGCATGTTTTACTGTGTCACATGAACGTAAAGTGTGAGTAAAAGTGCAACATTTGACACCATCGAAATACATTTATGTAAAAAACAAAGCACAGATTGGCTTTTAGCACCCCGATATGGTTACAAAATATCCATTTACAACGTGAGCGTTTTCACGCGTAGTTTACGCACGGCGCAGGGACGACATGTCCTACTTAAGGTGAACCAAATCATCCTTCTCTGTCTTGGTGTGTTTGCCTGTGTCAAAATGTGTGTGATGAGGTATGAGGTGGGTTGTGAGGGAAATGAGAGGCAATAATCGGTGGCTTCCGGTCGAGACGCGGTTAAATGTGCAGGAAGAGGCTGACATGGAATATCTATCATGTGCAGGAGATCCACCACAGAGCCGATCAGTCAGGCCAAAAACAGCCCAAATATTGACTGAAAAACAAAAAGTCTCGGCGGTCTGATACAAGAGACAGTTGCCAAACGCAATGCACTTACTTACTGGTATTGTTTTCAAGGAATTCAATAGGCAAAATACTTTACATTTATATAATCCAGGGGGTTGATAGTTGATTGGTTAGGTTATTTCAAAATGGTATTGAAATATATATAATGTACATATTTTTACAAATGTCCATTGCATATGGTCATTTAATCCACTCTACCTGACAGTAGAGTATAAACGCGCAAAGTGCTCCATGCATTGGCTGAATTCTTTAAATAAAAGAAAGAAAATGAAACCGCATATATTTCTTTCTTTCATTCTTTCATTCTTTCATTCTTTCATTCTTTCTTTCATTCTTTCATTCTTTCTTTCATTCTTTCTTTCTTTCATTCTTTCTTTCTTTCTTTCTTTCTCAGTGGATCAGATTATAGGCTACTTTCAGACTGTACTTTTTACGGTCTATTTGTAACCTCATAATGTCTGAGGTGTACGCTTTTGAGCTTGGTGCACGGTTGTTGTGAGTGCAGCTTCTTAATATCACACCAACCTGCCATTTTGAGACGCGACTGTGGTGAAGCAGTGACGCCCCCGGCTGGCCGTACAAGGTACTGCAGCCTGTGAGGAAAAAATAAAAGAAGGCCATTTAAAAAAAAAAAAAAAAAAGCTCTCTTTCAGATTTGAGTCAAACAACTTAATATTTTCTTAACCCAGAAAGAACAGGCGAAAGGATCATATTCTTAAAACGTTTACATCGCATTGATTTATACCATTTATTGAATTCGGCATATCTTTTTAATTGATTATAGCTTTAAAAAAAAAAAAAAACACACATCAGTAGGAAATGATGCAAAGAAAACTGCAATTCCCATGCCTGTTTGCAAGTGTAAAGCTGATTACAACTTCAGTGTAAAGCTTACATCATTCAAAGCATTGTGTGTTTGACTTCATCATGGTGTGTTTCTCTTATTACGTTAACCTTTTAAACGTGTAAAAAAAAAAAATGTCGACACACAACGAAATGTATTACCTTCTGCACTTTATACCACTCGACATTTAGCTTATTATTAAGGATTCATTGAAGTGTTAGTTTGAAGAGATATTTAAAAAAAAAATAAAAAAGGCTCGTAACCGCAGCAGACTGACGCGAAGCGGAACAAAAAAAAAATCAGAGTTACCGATACTCCTCGGCGGACAATAAGCGACGGACCAGCCTGGTGACTAAAGAAACAGCGCTTTGCCCTTAAGCTCTGCATGAACAAGAATTGTCCTTGTCTTTCATTACGATTAATATTTAACGATACGGATTCGACACCTTCACAATGTCGCTTGCGGCGGAGGCTTTCGTGTCGCAGATGGCAGGTGATGTGTTCACTTTACACTGTAAACATGAAGCTTTTAGCCCGGCTGCTGTTTTCATTATGGAGCCTTTCAGGATGTTTTGTTTACAGAAATAGGTCATGACTGTTTTAACAAAGTAGGGATGTTTAATTATAGATGTAAATATGGTTGTTCTGGTTCACGTTTTGTGTCTTAATTCATGGAAGGTTAAGGTGAGATGAGTGTTGTTGTTGTTGTTGTTGTTGTAACACACGGATGGGAAGGCAGCACATTGTGAACAAGTCAGGTGGATTCGCGTCGATGTCAGCTCATAGTTGGATCCTAAAAACACTTTTCTCACATGAATTGCGTCTAAAGTCAACCATGGACGTAAGAGCCATTTGGCCAGGCACTTTTTTTTCTTCTTCTTCTTCGCTTAAGCCCGAGTGCTTTCCCTCGCTGGTCTTTTAAGTGCTGCCACTGGTGGCCGGTAGAGGTTTTGCAACTAAAATGTCAAACTATTGTTTTTTTTTTGTTGTTGTTTTTTTTTAAATAGATGACTTCCAGCCGGCAGGGGCAGCAGTGAGTCAAGTGTGGCCGTGAAGAAAATGCAATACATTATCAATTAATCAATCAAACTTTATTTATATAGAACACCTTTCGGACGCGGTTCAAAGTGCTTAACAAGAGTGCATAAAAGTTACTGACAAAAAGTACTTTATAAAATCATTGAGAGACTAATGCACACCAATAAGAATTAAAAAAAATGATTTTTTATGTGTATAAAAATAAAATACATTAAAATACGACACATAAAAGCAACAGGATATTAAAATGAATACATAATGTCACCTTTGAGTTTCCATGAGCTGTGTGGAGTTTAATCAAACGCAACAAAACAACATGATTCTAAATCTTCTACCGCCAATGAATAAACATTGATGCAAAAAAAAAACTCTTGAACAGTTTTCTTTAAGTTAAACACATTTTGAAGGGCTTTCTGTTTTCACCATTTGTCCTTTTGATATATTAACATGTAATGTCTCAAATGGTTTCACAGTCAAGCTCAGCTAAACATTGAGAAATGCAGTACAGGGGTGTGTCTGTCAGCATGTTGTTAGTTAGACATAGTGAAAGAAACATTGATATATTGACATTGTTTGCACAATTAAAGATAATATATATATATATATGTGCAGTATGTATACCCACAAGAAACATACTATTTATTGAAGCCAGTTGTTCACATTGATAACTGTGTCTTTCTGTGTTTTTTGTGAACTCTATGTCTCTGTATTTGACATTGACAGCTGCTGAGCCATGGCCTGAAACTGCAACCTTATACCAACCGCTGAAGGGTAAGTCAGAAATCTGTAAAGGAGAAACAATATGAATTGCGACCATGTAGGCACGAGTGTGTTTTAAAAAAAAAAAAACACTATCTTTCTTTCTTTCCTTCTCAGAGGATCAGATTCTACTTTCAGACTGCGCCTCAACTCTTGCTGTTCAGGTGAACTTTTGTGTTTTTTTGTGCAATTATAGGCCCTACGCTAGCATTTGTTTGAAATTGCAACAGATATCCTGATTGGAATTTGATTCACTTAAAAAAAAAAAAGATCTAAAAAGATTTACTTTTGGCCTTTTTGTGCCTTTAATGGAGAGATAGGACAGATGATAGAGCTGGGAGAGAGAGAGAGAGAGAGAGAGAGAGAGAGTGGGGAAAGACATGTGAGAAAGGAGCCACAGGCTGGATTCAAACCACCCACTTGGAGAACTATAGCCTCCATTCATGGGGCGTACGCACTAACCACTCCTCCACCAGTGCCCCAATTTGAGTCACTTTTAGTGGAAATGATTAAATTCAACATGTTTTTCCTTTTACTAATAAAAGTAAAAATAATAAATGAATGACAGCGCTCGAGGCCTGTACCAAAAATCCACATTTTCTCCCATTTGAAGAAAAAAAACAAACAGGTTTAAGCTTCTCTTTAACGCTATGCTATTAAAAGATCCTGTCACCCGAATAAAAAATGTAGCTTTTGTGATTTTGATATCACACTTTGACATGTAGAGATTTCTTTAGATTAAATGTGCTGCTTTAGCATCTTCATATTTCCATACTGTTTTTTTAAAACCTATTTAAAATATGACCTAAAGATGAACAGATCATCAACTGTCAGTGTTGTGTCTTTCAGCTCAAATTGACCATGTCCGTTTTCTATGTATTACAGGCCTACCTCAGGATGTGCGGTCTGCCCGTACATGTGGTCTGCAAAGCAAATGCCGAATACATGTCACCTTCTGGTCAGTACACAACCTGCTGCTTAGTATTGCTGCATTGTCCTCTTGTGCTGTGAATGCCAGCGTGTGTCCATCTCAACAAAAAAAACTCAAGAATATTAACTTTGTGTCTGTCACTACGTTCATAATTGTGTATCCAACTGCTGTTTCCATTTGTTTGATATATGCAGCACCTTACAACCCTTCTTCCAAAAGGCCCCTTTATAAATAAATACTTTCCACA